TTTTTTTTTTTTTATTTATTTTTTTTTTTTTTATTTTATTTTATTTTATTTTATTTTATTTTATTTTATTTTATTTTATTTTATTTTATTTTATTTTATTTTATTTTATTTTATTTTATTTTATTTTATTATTATTTTATTTTATTATTTATTGGTCAGTCTCTTTTTTCCAAAGCAATGCATCATAATAGGTTTGTGTTAACTGATGGGAAGTGTAAATTGCTAGATTTGTTTTGATCTTACCAGATTCTTTTACATGGATATCCTTCGTCAGTAATTTGGCTAAAATGAGAAGTTACAAGCAATGAGTTTTAATAAATGTTGCCCAGCTGTAATATATTATCTTTCATATAAGCAAAGGTTATGAGAGCAGAGGCAGTAATTCATGTTTACCTGTTTCTAATGGTTTTTCTTTCTTGTGGGGTTCTAGACAATCAGAGAAAGAGCAAAACATTATTTCTCTCATCTTCATAAAGTTATGTTAATGTATTAACAATTCTTCAAATGCAAAGGTGCAATTTTCTAGATATATATTTTACATGGCACTTACCAGTTTTGTTTACATGTATATCTTTCTTTGGCAGTTTGGCTAAAAGAAAAAAGATTCCAACATCTAATTATGACATAGTTTGAAAACAAATGATCAATATCACTTTAATGCCCATATGTTCCAGAGTAGTGCAGAAGACAAAATAAGAGTTTGCTTACCCATTTCTCTTGGCTTTTCTTTCTTGTGTCGTTCTAGAAAGTAAAAGGAAAACCAGAACATGATGTCAACATTTGGGTGTTCATACTAAAGGGAAACGTTTTTCCTCTGGCACAAAGACATTGGTTTGTTCCTTCTCCTGCTATGGTCAGGAGTCGCAGCAATGTTCTATTCCAAATTCAAAGTTATAGGAAGTGGCAGCAGAGGAAAGAGGAACAGGATGGGGGAAAGGAGTAACCCTTAGTTGGGGGCTTCTAATGGGAACAGAATCAGGCAGGCAGGGGAGGACTACTTCATGGACA